GGGTCTCTTGCTTTATGGTCTCTCAGAAAATTAGACTTCGTTTTTCTCTCTTGACTTTAAAAATCATATGATAAAAGGAGAAGAACAGTGTAGTGTGCCTGTGAGTGGAGAAATTCAATTATGTGTATTGTGGGTTATGATTAAGTCAATTAGAGAGTCACATTTGACTTTTTAAAAGAAATTCTGCACTAAACAAAAAAGTGTTGCCTGATTACTAAGATCATTTTCAAGGGTGCAATTTGTATTGGTGTTTAATTGGTTAAAAAGTTTACATATTTTGTCAAAGAATGGATATACCGAATGTTAGGATACCAATTTAAAACAAATACATTTGATATAAATCAATCACAACACTAGAGCCTGTGAAAACGAACACAGGTCAACATACATCTAAACACTTTCTCAGTGGTTAGGATTTATGGTACAGTTGTTTGTTACGCTTTTTCTTTATTGCATTATGTAATAGGAACTCTTTTGTGATAAAGGGACATTTTCATCACACTTCATATGCAAATCAGGAACACGTCCTGCCAGACTCATCTTGTGGACTTGGTTGAGAAGTGTGCTACTATCCTTATATAAAAATGATCCTTCATCTTATTTTATTCCCCCTCCTGTCACCTTAAATTGCACAAAACATATATAAGATTGAATTCTGTACTGAAGATTTCCCTGCAACTCTTCATTGCAATTCTATCATCATGATTGAGTCAATTTTATTCAGTCGTATCTCAACCAATTCCTCTCCTACGTTTGGGATTTGGACATCTAACAAGTGCCATTTCAAGTCAAGTAAATCATGCCCGATGGAAGGCGTTTCTTTTTTTAAAACTGTAAACCGTCCAGAACCTCATTTTATTTCAAGGCAACATTCAGCCACATTTGCAGAATGCAAATATAAAACACTTTGATGAATTTGATTGTTTTTGAACATTTACCCCCATAGCAATCTTACGGCTGAGAACGTCTTTGTGTCCTATTGTACAACGTCTATATATAGATGCTCTCCCATTTGCTTTGGCAGTCCATAGACATCAAACCTTTCAGCACACAATGGTAATAAAATACGACACCTACGTACAGTACATCCTCTAAAATGTCACAGGAAACTGGATTCAAACAGTTTCAACTATTTTTGTTCAAGACCAGATGTGGAATGACATTCAATTTCACCTTGGAATTAATTGTGGTTGTGTATGTGTGTGTTTGTGTGTGTGTGTCTGTGTGTTAGGGGGAGTTTACCTTGATTGATTTAGGCATAAATATTTGTATCATTCTGCACAATTAGTGTACAAGGTTTAGGGCTCTTGCTGTGGTACATTTTCCAAACTCTTTCCTCGGTGTACACAGATGAGCAGTGCTCTCTTTCATGTTCATCCTGCTCACTGGCGTTACCAGTGGGGGCTGGTGGGTTTACCTCCAGGGGGGCTTTGCAAAAAACAATCAAGCAGACATCTGCTGAAGTATGACATCAGTTTATTAAAATGAATGAAAAGGAACTGATTTGCCGAGTTCAATTAAAGTGTCTTTAAAGAAAGATGCCTAGTTGAGGTAAGTTGGGATTCTTCAATTAGTGCAAATTCTTTAAAGTAGTTGTCTTTGGTACGACATTTTATCATGGTGAAGCACCCAGTGGTTGGTGGTGTGTAAAGCATAAAGGTCAACAAAATGGTTGGGATGCAGGTGCCGTGCTCCCCAAACAAGCTACTGTCTCTTTGTAGAAGAAGAGTAAACTGTGCAGATAAAACTCCTAACAAGATTCAACGGACAAATAGTCATTTTTTTCACTTGCTATCAACCTTGCTAATTTTTCCGTTTTAACTGCCAGAGGGAAGAAATTAGAGTCTAAAACTAACTTACAGGAACAGGCCCCAGCATGTGTGTTTATCAAGTTCCTGTGGATAATGTACCAAAACTATTACCTGATATATATACACATAAACATCCCACTGCGGCCCTTTGTCTGGCTGAATGCGGAGAAGAATTTCCCAGGGTCTCTTTGGACGTGTAACCTTTTTCCCCAGCCTCTCGTTTGCTGCAGCTCCTCAGCCTTTTACCCTGAGCAGGTACTGCACGTCGGCTGCAGAGCTCGTCTTATATAAGGAGACTCACACTCACTCCAGAAACAATCAGCTGACAGTGGTAGAACTCGGGCATCGGCATCACCAGAAAAGTTTTCACAGTACAGTGTGTCCTTTGATTTATAATTAAAATTCTAAATTAATTAAACTATTATATCTTTAATGAAGATGATAGTGGTTCCAACCAGATGTTCCACAGAGTTTAGCTCAGTTCATTTCATTCATTCATTCATTCATTCACTCTTCACTTGCCATTTTGCATTCTCTGAACAGCCAATAACTAATGAGAGGGAACAAGCGGCAGCCTTTCCATGTTCAAACGGTCCTCACGGGCTCCTCGCCTTTGCATGGAACATATTAGTACATTTCTGTTCAAATCAGAGCTCGGGCTGGGTACCTTCCCACTGAGCTTTCAATAGACCAAAAAGGCATAAGAGCCGTGACAATGCCTCCAGTGACATTACATCGGGCTGTGAACAACATTTCACAGATCATGGAGCAGGATTGTCGATCTGGGATCACTGCTACTGACAAACGACGGAGGGCAAACGCCTGTCTGACATATGTCCTCGTGCTCTGTCAATTCCTTCAATGATGTAAGAAAGATTTTTGAGGAGTCTCCTTGTAACAGAACCATTATTTCTGCTTTCTCGCCCTCTTCGCTATCTGGTTATTATTGTGGTACTATTCTCAAACCCGACTATCTGAAGATGGAAGGATGTACCATATGGTCAGTTTATTATGTGTGCATCAGCAGAGCATCTTAATGAGAGTCCACACCACACACACACACACACACACACACACACACACACATACATCAACACAAAGCCTCACACACAGATTTTGAGATGCGGGCAGAGGGAGGCTTCTTAGACGCAAACACACATGCACACACTGGCAGTGTACACACACTACTTAAAACATAAAGGAAGTACGTATGTACACAAAGAATAACTATTGTGCATAGCCCGTTTCCTTTCACACGCACATACACACACACAAACCAGAGAATTACGAAAAATCCTTATACCGCCGGCTAAAATCAAAGCCCTTTACTGGCACCCAGTGGCAACAGTCAGCAGCGAGATCTTTCACCGGCCGTCCAGGTAAGCACTTGACAGCAACTGATTAGCTCAGTGTTGTTTTTGTGCTGGAGGAATTGCAAATGCATTTGAGATTCAGCAAAAATGACTGCTGCACCATTAATGAAAATGTTGTCCAAATTGTAATAGTGGACTAGTGGTGCAACAGGAAGAACTGGTCTTGGAACAGGACCTACTCACTTTACCAGGTGATCTTCCCGGCTGCCATTTCTTCGTTTGAGGGCTAATAACTGCTACATATCTTTCACTGACAATAACAAATTATTTAAATTAATCAACACACAAATTATTGTATAGTTTTGTATATTTAAGTCTTTTTTCAAAATACAAATATGAAATCAGAGTGGAATACTTACTAAGCAACTTCATTTGTCCATCCCAAACTTCAACAAGATATCCGTCATTGAAAAACAAATCTCTATAAAGAGATGGACAAAATGCAATCCAGGAAGCCACCAGCATCTGAGAAAGACTTTTTATGGATATGAAATTGGATTGTAAACTCCCTACTTATAAAACAACCCCGTTGCATGCCCCATCTCTTACCTCCATGTCTCCTGAATCACGTTGCAAATCATACAGCAAGGAAAACAAAGTCTTATCCTGGATTTCGACCTGGCTTCATCTGAAACACAAGAAGTCCAGCCCCTGGTCCTCGGAGGCTTATCCGTCATCAGGCCGACAGCAGACGCTCATCATAACTGTAGGTCACAAACTGAGGATCACATCATTAATAACATCCCAGTAGGCCATTAACAAAGGAACTTGACTTAGCTGTGTCACTTCTAATTTTACAGTTTTTGTGAAATCAATGAAAGAGAGAGAGAAAAAGATTGAATGAATGAGATAAAAAGATAAAGAGAGAGTGTGTCAAGGGATGTGGTTGTAGACACCAAATGCAGGAAGAAACAAGTCAAAAGGGGATAATGGGCGGAGTCAGGGTGGCCGCGGGAAGCGGAATGCGCTGGCGAGGCACGCACGGGAACCGATCCACTGTGGGTGCAGGAAGACAAGGTCCATGCAGCTCGGAGATAAAAAAAAGTGATTCAGAAGCACTAAATACTGAGCGGGCCAGAACCACTAAATATCACTGTCGCTGAATCAACGAACAACGATCCGGCCACGAGCCCCTGGGAGCCCGGCTGATATATTCTGTACTGTGGAGTAGATTAGTAGATGTAAAGCAACTGGGCAGACTGTGGACGTGAGGTTAATGAGTAGTAAGAGCCGTGCACACACACACACACACACACACAGATGGAGGTAAACATGGGAACCGGGGTAGAGGGAGACACGGAAGAAACAGCAGCCGAGGCCAAACCGGGACAATCAACGTGGAGGAGCCGTCTGTATGTGTGTGTTTCGGTGCAAATGACCCTTGTACCGTTTTATTGACACTCGTAAAAACTGGATATATGACTTTTAGTCAGAGATAAACTCTGATAAGTCACACGCACGCACACATAACTCCCCCGGCAGAAAATCACGTATCTTACTCACGTTGGGTGGTTGCGGGTTCTTATCCCTTATGGTTACCTTTTTGATATCGGTCAAATCTTCCTGCGTAATTTCTGGTTAGAACACACACGCACACACACACACACACACACACACACACACACACACACACACACACACACACACACACACGCCTACTGGGCAGGACCTGACTGTTAACACAGGTGTCTCCTCCTTGACACTGTTTCCAGTTCACTCGGCAATTGGAAACCTTTCGAAGTGTCAGTTTAAAAATGACACATGTTTTCATTATGTTTTGAGTATTTTGAATCAAACTTCTCTCTTGCGGTTAAAGGTTCACTGATATTTTAGAGTTTGGAGGAAATGTGAGCCGAGGGTGAGATCTTCAGAAGAAATAAACTCAACGAGGTAAAGTTTTTCTTTCAAGTTTTCTTAAACATGATTCAATGAGATCGATGATGACGATGATTCAAAGAACTTATATTCTTTGTCTTCTGACCTATTCGTTCTGTTGTTTGCTGTGTTAATCTTTCACTTTAAAATACATATCAGAACATACATATCAGAAGACAAGTCTACTTGAATTTCTTTCCTCTTTGAAACAGACTCTTCATTGGCATTCATAAGGAGTGAAGTAGATAAGCGAAATGGAGGAAATCAAATACAGAGGAAAGAAAAGAGAGGGAAGACACAGGTAAGAAAAACATTTTTTTCGTTGAATTTTTCTGTTTCATTTAAGGTTGTGCTTGAAACTACGATTTAGATGTTACATGAATTAGCTAACTGGGGCGGAAAATGTGTGTTGCAAACACTTTCTTTTTAGGCAGCAGAAATCTTTGTCTCTAGGGCTTTTTTTGTGACCGACTATGTTACAAGCGGTTACTTGGCGAGCTAAATCCCATACAATATTAGTAAGAAAGTAGTATAATAGTAGTATAATAAAGCAATTACGAGAGGCAGGTACGAGACGCTGTACTTTATCTAATAATGTAACAGTTCGGGGGCGTTGTTAGGCCCGACGCAGAGCGGAGGGCCAGCAACCCTCGAACTGTTACATTATTGAAGATAAAGTACTGCCTCAAGTACCTTATTGCTTTTATAATACGGTTACCAGAGAAATTATAATTATTAATAAAATAGCTGCCTTTCAGCACAAAATAGTATTAGCCACCAAACGTTGTGCATTTCAGTAGTCAGTAGAGAAGAAATAGTCCCCGTACGTGCGTGCAAACAGTATTGCATCCCACGCCATCTCATACATCTCATTCACATCGCTGATGACGTCCTCCCTAATTTTCGTGTTGCGAAAGCTCGCATTGCCTGAAACCGATGGGATTTCCAGGTCTTATTTCGCCGATCGCCACCGAGCTAAAAGGTCAAATGTCAACTAACGGTCGCGCAAAATCTAACCTGTTACTTTGAGTGCGCAGTGATATGGAACGCTTGGGTCGACGTGAACTGCAACTGTACATTATCGCCCAACAATGTGCCCCCTGTGCCCCCTGACTCACTCTCAACCAATCAGAACGCTGGATTTCATCCACCCGTATTATAAATAAAACTACAACGTGTTAGTGGTGTCCGCAGAGGTCCGTGTCCAACTTGGCTTCAGACTATTGACATCACAGAAAAGAAGTAAACTGTTGGATCAAGGGAATTCTTTGTATAGTTGCTTGATTCATGACTTTATTTTTAAATTGATAATTAAACAGTAAAACTACCAAAATAGATAACGTCGACTCAATTGTGTGAGGGTCATTATTTGTAGATTGTTTAATCAACAGAGCACAGGATTAAAACACCAAATCGAACGAGCTGTATCCTCATCAAATTTAAAGAAAAATCATAATAAGTTATTAGCATGAACCTCACTTATAGTGAGAATATCTTAGACAGACTATGATGCTAGAAATGTTTCTCCACAAAGTAAAAACAAACGATGCGGATGCCACTAGTGTGTCTTGAGGGGGCTTCATCCGTTCATGATGAATACAAATGCATTTGAATTCGTTTACATCCCTTGTTTTTAATCAGAAACGGTCTGTCCATGGAAATGCTTTTCGCTGCCCCCCTTTGTGTTGAATAGTTGTAAGGAAAAAGTAAAGGTTACAAGGTTACTGTACGCGCTGAACAACCTTCGGGAGACGAAAGAAAGAATTGAATTATTCAACAACAGTCCAGGCGATACTAGACAAAGCTACCGAAGGAACATTTATCATTCCATCGCGTTCCAAACTCGACTGTAATTGTCTGTATGAGTCAGAAAGATGTAGTTAGTTTTAGCCACTCCACGTCCTCTCTGTAGGCACACAGTCCAAATCTATTTACACCAAAACCATTGCCAGGAGGTCAATTGTTTGCGAGATATTTGTAATGAATATTTTTATTAAATTGCTATACCCATTGATACATCATTACGTTTTGAATCACCAGGTTTGTACTTGGTATAAATTACAGTTTGAGGAAACAGTTAATTTCCCCTGTGCCCTGCTGTGCTTCTCTTTATTGCCGTTGCTGATATTATCCCAGCAGATACTGACGGCAGTCAGGGGAATGCTGCTCCATTTAAAATGTTAAATACGCAGCCGAGTTTTAATCACATTCTGTATGTTGTTATCTCTGAGGTCAAAACAGTCACCGTTGTTTCTGGGTTTAGATTTTAAATAGACATAATATATTTTCCTCTATTCTCAATATGATTTTTAGAACGTTTTGCAGGAGAAACCATGATTTTAAATAACTACAAGCAAATATTATGTGTCAAAAATCTTAAGTCTGATAAAACCAGCAAATGACAACTGTGTTATCCGACTGTGATTGGTTATATAAGTTGCAAGATCACCAAAAAATCAAATCTAGAGCCAAACTAGTTGAACCTATGCGATGTTCATTCAATGTTCTGAGATGTGAGTTGGCCTAGAATGAAAAAACAACAACACTTAATTGTAATTTTCCAGCAGCTAAACATTCTGTTTCACTTGCTCTCCTTTTCGTCATAAAATACACACTTTCTGCGAGGACGCAGGACAGAGGAGGTTCACCGAGCTCTTCCAACAGTTGTGTGTTGACAAAGATCCCAACATGTTATCAGTTCGAGGAAGACACACCGCACCCTGATAAGTGTTCGTACTCAGACAGCAGTGAGCGACGGCACCCGGGATGATTGAAAAGCAAATGTCAACACAAATTGTACGAAATTACACCAACAAAATGCAGATTGTAATTTTAGGCCATAAAATAATTGTAATCATTGATCGCAGGGCCAGGTCGATCTGAAGACATGACCTGCTCGCGACTTGCGTCGGCTAATTATCTGAATTATCTTACGACGTCATACGGTCACATTATTACATGAGATTACATGATAGGTCATTTAGCAGACGCTTTCATCCAAAGCGACTTACATTAAAGTTTAAACCCATGGCTTTTTCACATTTTTGCGTGGGGAGCAATTAGGGGTTAGGTGTCTTGCTCAGGGACACTTCGACATGGAACATGGGACAGTCTGGAATCAAACCAACAACCTTGTGCTTCCCAGCACACCTTCTCTAACCCCTGCGCCACGACCACCCCATCATACGATTACAAACATATTTATTTATTTTGCCTTAATAGCTTCCTTGTGACATGTCAATGAGCCCTCTATGACTTTTCCCGTGGATCAAACTCTTCAGCCACATTCAGAAAACTACACTGTTTTCCGTTTTCTTTGAGTTTCACATAGATGAGAACAAAATCGTAATAATTAAAACACGTTTCAAAGTCTGTGATCAGTTTGTGTCTGGCCATCTCGGTTCATATCTTGGAATGTATTGGGACCTTAATATGTAAAATGGATGAAATGGAAGCTGAGGTCAATCTATGGGTTTTCTCTCATGTGTGTCTCAGGGATACGTGGGATCCATTCCAGCTAAACCCAATCGGAGCTGAGAAGGAGAGCAAGAGAAGATGTTTCCAACTGGCCCAGTACCTGGTGGCTGCTTTAGTTGGTTTAGCTGTCTTGGCCAGCGCCGTTGTTGCAAAGGTGGGATAATCTATTGGTCTGTTGGATGAAGGTTGTTCTCCTATTCATCATTTGATTTGAGAGAAAGAAGCATCACAATAGAGTACTTGACACTACAAGTGACGCCTCAAGCAAAAATCTTTACAATGTTCTGTAAAGATTGTTTCCCTCACAAGCAGACTGAAAAATGTAACTATGCGTTCTTACTATTAGCTATAAGCAACAGTGTTTCAAGGAAACTATTTTATTTGAGAGTTTTATGTTTCTATCAGCAATTGAATGTATTACATGAGGCATTTATGTTGCATAATGAATATGACACTCAACAGTTTGGATTGGATTTGATCACATATCCATCAAATCTTTGGGTTTTCTCTGATGAGATTTGAGTTTCTGTAGGTAGAGTATTTTTTTAAATTAATTACTATTACTGTATTATCTGATACAGTAATAGTAATGACAACTGACATGCCATCAGCAGTGTTTGAATCTCCTTCTGTCTTCAACCTTCTGGAAGGTGGAAAGAGGTCATTGACATAGTTGTTGTTTTTTGCTTTTTTGAACAAAGGCCTTCATTTTAATATCTGGTTATGATCAAGACAAGGCCTTTCTCGTTTCTCAGTTTGCATTCCTGCAGCCTACATCTAAACCGTTAGTGTCATGAACAACATTAATGCTATGGGTAGGCTACGCTATGCTATGCTATGCTACGCTACGCTATGCTATGGTAAAGAGTCCCGCATCAGGCAGCAGTTGCAAGGTACTATGGAATTACTGCACGCAGCATTTCACTGTCACTGCACTTTGTTCCAGTAAAGGGACGTTTTTATGGTCTCTGTAATCTTACCTCAAATAAAGAAGAATTATGTACATAATATACATATATACACAACAAATGTTAACTTTACTTTCAGTATTCTGTTCAAACTCTTCTTTAACACACAGGGCTCCCTCTTGGTATTATCAACCCTGTCGAGTCCGACCTCCATGCGAAGCCCAAAGGAAAAACAGTTCTACATGCTGATGTTGGTTTTCTGCCTGGTCTTCCCCAACATCCTGGTTTTCCTGAAGTCACTTTGGAGGTGTGCCTTCAAGAGCTTTGTGAAACCCAACATGAGGACCATGTCGTTTGTACGTTTTTCAAAAGCATATTCATTAATTGCAGAGATGGTGGGAAAATGTTTATCTTAGATCTTTGGTTGCAATCTTACATGCCACGAGTACATTGTAGCAACATTTGTTGTATTTAATATGTATGGCTGTACTCAGCTGCTGGGATATTATTAGTATAATCAATCAATCTTGGCAACGTACAGAGAGTTTGATTTCCTGATTGTTAAGCAAAGCCCGTCAGCAGAATGATTTTCGAGAGATTATTAAAGTCAATCTTTCGAAGCTTAAATTTGACAATTTCCACCACCATCTAGCCCTTAAAATACATACAGAACATACATTAGTATGTAAACGTAATGATGTATGTTCTTGTGTCGTTTGCAGATATTTGCCATCGAGAGTCTGGTGTCGCTCGGTACTTCGACCCTGGTGCTTGTCGTCATGCCTCAGTTTGATGTGTTGACCAATCTCTTTATCAGCGGAGGAGTCTGTATTGTTTCTGCCATTCTGCAGATAATATACAGACTACAGAGAGAAACGTGGAAGATTGTATTCCCAATCTGCTCCCTCATTCTCACAGTCGCTGGTAATTCTCTTTATACACTCTATAAAGAGTATTCATGTACTTCGAACCAGGAACGGGGTGAAGGGGGAAGACGACTACAATTTGTTATCCTCTTCCTCATTCCGCATTCAAACTCACTGACATCATTGAGAAACACAGCTATAAATGATCAGCTACTACTTCACTAACCAGCCAGCTAACTAATCACATAACCTGCAGGTTACTGCCTCCTGGGGATTGACTACTATGTGCGCGTGTCATCATACGTGGATCGACAGGGCGCCGACTGCTTCATATACGTTGGGATTGGAATTTTCTCTTCCCTCCTGATCTCTCTGTGCTGGTGGGAAAATCCGCTGCAAGCTACTAATAGCATGCAGGTATAATCATTTTCTGTGTTTATTTTTGGTCTATTGGTCTAATGATATTGTCTTTTTTTGTATGTTTTGTTTTTTTGATCAACAGGAATTTACCCCCCATGTCCACTGTAATGCAATTTATTTATTTTAACTGACACCAAGCCTTAAACATTAAATGTTAGTTTCATCTTTTGTGGCAGGTATTTTTTTTGTGGGCTTTGATTGTAGCCCCAGCTGGAGGTGGAACTGTTTTTGGTTATTTGTGTTATAGATAAATAGTGTTACTGACTTGGCGTGATCAGGGAGACGCTTTCTTTGTCTCTGCAGGAAACGCTGACAGAATTGGATGGTTTCAGGGACTTTGTGTTTGTCATCAGCAGCATCCTGAGGATAATAGTGATCGGTAATTATCTGCCTTAAATGTCTGTATCAAAGGACAACACACACAAAAAACACCCTGACAAAATAAGACGGGCACTTGAATTGTGTTGTGAACAACAACAGCTCTGTTTTGCCGAGTCCTCTCATCACCTCCCTTTCAACGTTCACGCTGGAGGACAAAGAGGTGCAGATGGAAGTTTTCCAGCTGTGATAAACTCTTCAAAACTTTCAATTCGATCCCTTTTCATACAGCAGTTCATTTCCCTTTATTTAGTAGAATCGCACTGTGTGACTATTTCAAATCAGCACATTTCATGTTTACCTATCAAAACACCTGTGACCTTTTTGTATTGTGCTTATGAGGGCTGTGTAGAACATCCTGTAAGTATTCTATTTGGGTTTTTGTATTTTAACTTTATAAGATTCAGTGATACCATGTATTGTGTCACAGGAGTCGTGTACCTAATCTACCATGTGCTGATTGAGAAATCCATCATTTGGAAAGACTTCAACCTACAGGATGAGGACTGGGAATTACTGCAAATAGGACTTGTGCTGCTTTTCCTGCAGGTAAATGGAAGGAGGACAGAGAATGACGGATGGACCGTAGGTTTACATGAACTATGCATAGTCGAGTCGTGGGTCTCGTTGCATTTAAAGATTCGCAGCTCGTCTTGTCTTGTGACCCTGTAAACGGTCGCCAGTCATTGTACTGGATCTACTGGAAGCTGCAAACAAATGATGTGTTTGAGCTCTCGCAAGCTCTTTAGAGATCAGAAATGTGGGGAAAAGTGCTGTGCCTGATAAAAGCATGTTTAAAACACTTACACTGTTGAAGCCAACAGTTATTTTTAACTTGAACAAAAAACAAACGTTTAAAACCTACTAGAAATCTACCCCGTTGATACTTAATGATTCCAGCAGGTTCGACTCAATCAGAAATCATAATTAGATCTTACTGGGACTAATTTACAAGTCTAATTTAAAACAACAGACTTCATTGAAAGATTGAATTTAGTGCCCCAGGCACTAACTTAGTTTCCGCTTGCCTCCTGTCTCAGGCCTTCTGCTCAGCAGCGTGCCACTGGTTCGGTGTGGTGGCCTGTAAGATCCATTCGGTGAGGATGAGTTTTGCGGTGCCAGTTTGTTCCACAGGACCTGCGGTGCTGCTGTTGGGACTGATACTTTTCATAACGCAAGCACAAAGTCTAGAAGGAGCACAGAGCGGGAGCATCACGGGTGAGCTTAACCTTTCAACATTCGGAAGAAATTGATTGGGATTTGATTTGAATGTGCTTTTGTTTGATCAAAATGAAGATGATTCCATTATTTTAGTTGTGGATCAGACAGTTGAAAAATATGCCCCCCCCCCCCAGTCAATTGGTGAATTGTGAAACATCTTTTCAATTACTCACATGAATACTTCCCTGAAAGGAAGAAACATCATTTTGCTTGCTACTGATAATCCTAAAACATTCAACTTTGTTTCTGTTGCAGAGTTTTGTGAAAGCCTCGTCCACTTGAGCCATAAGAACACAACCCCTGTGGTTTTACTGGAAATCACAAGGAGCATTTGTCGGACTTCACTCAACAGGTATGTTTGTGTGTTTGTATCAGGTTCAAACATTGCTCGCAGCTTTGGGCTCCCTACAATGTATTTATAAATGTGTTCAATTAAATATAATGCAAAGTAACATATGTCCAGGAATCTATACACACATGCAATCGATGTATACTTTCCCCAAATGATTGTGGACTGTTTTATTGACAGCTATTACTTGCAATGGCCCTTTTCAATGCTGGCACTGGAGGGAGTGTGCATGTGGTCGGGCTTTGTCACGTGTACCTACTATGTATGGAAGATCAAGGTATCAAAATGAACACACACACACACACACACACACAGATCACTTACAATAAGCACCCAAATTCTGAAAAAAGGTTTTCATTCTTCACAAGACACCTCTGTGCGATGGAGATGATCGGACGTCTTCACTTCCTGTTGCTCACATTATTGAACAATTACATTTCACAAAAGTCAACAGCAACGTCTCTCCAGATAAAACGACAACATTTATCTTAATGAGCTAAAGAAAACTTTTCAAAGTATATACTATTTTAATAATTATTTTCAAATTGAGATGTAGAAATGTCTTACTTAACCTTGAAATATCAGAATGACACCTGATGTTGAGGTTAGGCATAAAGACGTGCATCTGAATGCCTCTATCGTTCACCGCGTCTCAGGTCCAGCGCATAGAGAGAACCTCGCAGCTCTTTGTTCGCCGGCTCTATGAATCCGCTTTTATTGACCTGTCTCTGCTACTCAACACCAAGATGAAGGTGCCCCGAGCGCGAAACCAGGAGAGGTGAGAGGGGTCTGAAAAGAGAGTTTCTCTCATTATGTCTTGATTGTGTAAGTCATAATATGGTAATAATTGTGTGCTGATACTTCATTTAAAATATGTCTTGACAAGTAGATGTCAAAGTAGCTTAAAGCGTGCTTTTGGAGATCTCTTTGCTGAGAGATCTGCATGGTGACAACATGAAATGTTTAAAGCTTCCCCTCTTCTCTCCTTCACAGCGGTGATGACATGCAGAAGTGTGTGATCTATCTGTGTGCCACCATGTGGCATGAGACCTACGATGAAATGCTGAAAATCCTCACCTCTATGTTCAGGTTTGAGACCGTGTCACTGCAGACAGCTAGTTGTCAAAGTATCAAACAGACAACACAGGTTTTGAGCCCCTATCGTATCCCCTATGCTGTAGTGATGCAGAAGTAAACTCCAAGATGTGTCGGTGCACCGTGATGATGTTGTTGTGTGCATGAGATGAGGCAGTGAAACTTCACCCCGGTGTCGCGTTGCTACTTTCAATGTTGATTGTTAATGAAATCTCCTGATAAGCATGCAACTTCAAATATGTGAGGGCTCAAACAACAGTTTTGCATTTGAAAATTAAATTCTATTTATTCCCTGTCACGCAGTAATGAAAGAGTTGTTTGTTGTCTCTTCAGGCTGGACCGCTACCGAGGTGATCCAAAGGAGGAGCACAACGACTGTTTTGACTTTGAGTGTCACATTTATGTAGATGATGCCTTCATGACTGAAAAGGAAACAGGAAAGAGGCTGGTTAACTCTTACGTTACTGACTTGATCCATGTGGTCATAGAGGTTTACAGGTGAGATTATCCATTGATTTACCGTCTATCTTTAGATGCATCCATCCATTCATTCCTTCAACCTTGTCTCCATTCAGGGTGTTTACCAACAAAGAACCAGATGATGTGTCGATCATCATGACCCCCTACGGTGGCAGGATGATGTTTGTTATGCCAGAGGGCAACATGCTCTATGTTCATCTGAAAGACAAGAATCTCATCAAGAACAAGAAACGATGGTCCCAGGTATGATGTCACAGTGCTGTTTCTGTCCTGCAGGTGTCATGGTAAAAAAGCGACCCGTTGCGCTCTCCTCACACACTGCATGGCTGTCATACCCGAGACCCACCTCTGCAAAATCACTGACTCTTTAGCCCTTTTGATGGGAGATGCAGTTCTTCAACTCTGATTCATTAACATTATGAATATCTTCTCAATAAACCATCTAGTCTGTGAAATGTCAAAGAAATTGGGAAATGGCATTACGTTTCACAGTATTTCCTTGTTTGTTTTCAGATTGGTTACTATGCCTGAAACCCAAAGATCACATACATACACATATATCTAAAAGCATCAAATCTTCACATCTTAAATGCTAAAATAATTTTCCTGAAAATAATCTACTTAGTGTTAGAAAATTAAGAGCCCTATTTTTTCAAATACACCAACTAATATTGAGAATGACCTTACTGTTTGAATTGCATCAATGTCTTTGAGAGTCGGTCTTGGATTCTCCCGCATCACATTACTGTAAATTACTTTCAGATTATGTACATGTACTATCTACTCGGCTGGAAGGGCTACATCGTCAAGAACCCTCAAAAGATGAAAGTAAGACTTTTTTTTCTTCTATTTTGTCTGAAAATTGCATATCTAACTATTTTGACCGGATGGGTATAAAATATTTAAATGTTTTCTAGCGCCAGCACAACCCATCAAGGGAGAGCATGGTCTCCATGTATGGAGACATTTTTGTGCTGCCCCAGCATGACAATGACTACAAGAGAAAATTCATCTCAGACGACAACACTTACATCCTGGCTCTGGACGGAGACACCGACTTCCAACCAAAAGCTGTGATTCTGCTTGTAGACAGGTCAGGTTACTTATGTATTACTGTACAAATAACGTTTTTTAGCAATTAAAGTAATTAAACATATTATGTTCATTGACAGGTTGAGGATGTATAGCAACGTAGGTGCAGCGTGTGGTAGGATCCACCCAACTGGTATGGGTAAGTGGATGTTCTTTTGGCCTTTTCAGCAGAAGGTATAGTTTTTTCTTCAAAACCAAGCCCTTCATTTTACTCTAAGCTGCTTGCTCTGCTCAGCTGGAACGTGGAGGCAGCGCTGAGTGCCCGCGATGGCCCGAGCTGGGTTTATTTACTTATGAGTTCACACAAGATCCAATTAACACAGGGGGAAAGGGCAAAGTATCTGTTATCCAGGATTTGAAACAGCCGGGCGGAAAGCCACACAAATTCATACTATTAAATAGCAGAATAAAAATGAATGAATCATTCCAACACCCTATTTGTTATGTTTAGACTGACTTCAGAATTTGGTTGTTCAAGTTGGAACATCTTGACATAGTATAGTTATGAAATGGAAAATCTTATTTTTGTTGGATGAATCCAAAGGTAGTACCCCAAAAACTGGTTCTGGTTCATATTCCAGCACTGTTACTTTCCTCCTCTTATAGTCGACAATGAAGCAAGATGGGTTTTATGAAGCTATTTTGTATACAGCCCTTATAGGCTAAGATAGATGCCGCCTTCCAAAACGCTTAACATGACAGTGGATAGAAATGAACATTTGTGAAGCGTTATCTCCCATTTCCTTCCATTTATTTGATCAATGATGAATTTGTCTGGGTGGATCTCTCTGCTCATCGGCCTGCCTGCCTGCCGTCCCAGGTCCCATGGTGTGGTACCAGAAGTTTGAGTATGCAGTGGGCCATTGGCTACAGAAGACAGCAGAGCACGTGCTCGGCTCCGTGTTGTGCAGTCCAGGATGCTTCAGTCTGTTTAGAGGATCCGCCCTGATGGATGACAATGTGATGAAGAGATACACAACTACTGCAACCAGAGCTTCGGAATATGTGCAGTATGACCAAGGTCGGTGGCGAAGTGCTCCAACCCTTTTTACCGCGGATAGTTTTGTCTCTTTGCATTTCTTTTTTGACTCTTTGAGCCTGTCTCTTTTTTCTTCCTTGTGTGTGTTTCTAGGGGAGGATCGTTGGTTGTGTACTTTGTTACTGCAGCAAGGGTGGCGTGTGGAGTACAACGCTGCATCAGATGCATACACCAACTCACCAGAGGAGTTCAAAGAGTTTTATAACCAGAGGAGACGATGGGGACCATCTACACTGGCTAATACACTGGACCTTCTGCACAGGTTAGGATGCATTAATATTATGTTCATCATTAGACTTGGAATCAATAATGAAACAGGAATTAGCATCCTTACATTGGATCTGCATGCAGGCCCAGTTCTACAGACTACACATCTTTAATCAGCTGTTAACTATGGCATTGTGACATGTGCATTGTCTCTATATACATTTTTCTTTTCTGTTATAAATTAAATCACAGTGGTCCAGAAACAGTGAAGAGAAATTCATCCATCTCCAGGCTTTACATCTTCTACCAGATGTTCACCGTCAGTTCCTCTATCCTCGGTCCAGCCTCTGTGACTCTCATGATAGCAGGTCGGTTCATGTTGAGTTCAATACGCTACAAAACATATTGAAATACTTTAGTGGAGCAAACGTTTTCCCTCATCTGTCTATTCCATTTCTTTACCAGTATCATACTTTGATATGAGTAAGTTCCTGCTGAATACATCAATTCACTCGTTCTGCATTTATATGAACATCTTATAAGACCCCTGTGGACTTTATTTAATTAAAACTATATATAGTGTGGAAACACTGTGATGGTGACTACTGGGATGCCCACTTGGTCCGGCAGTTTAGAAATACTTTTGTATTGATAACTTCCCCTCTCCCCCGCCTCGCTCCCTGTCTTTTCATGCCAGGTGCTTTCCAGTTCGTCTTCAAAATCGCCGGCACAACTTCCATCATCATCGCAAGTGTTCCTCCCGTGTTCTACGTCATCGTCTGTTTCGTAGCCAAGCCCAATAACCAGATCACCATTGCCGCCATTATGAGCATTCTGTACGCATTCCTCATGACTGCGTCCTTTTTTTCCATCATTGGTGGGTAAAACCTCTTTGACTGATTTAGTTATTGAAACCCTTAAATTCTTTCACACACACACAAACACACACACATGCCTCGTTCTGCTTCCAGGTGACATGGTGATTCAGGGCACCTTCCTGACTCCCACCGGCTTGTTTTTGGTTTCAATGGCAATCATGTACGCAGTGACAGCCGTGCTACACCCAGAGGAATGGGGTATGGTTATAGTATTTCATCTTAATGCTCATTCTCATCCTTTACCATGTTAACAGAGTGCTGTAATATGAAATCCTGTCTACATTAGAATGTAACGTTTTGTTAACGGCTCAATGTTCTGTTCTGTTTTCCTAATTTTCTCTTGCAGCAATGATCATCTATGGTCTGATGTATTTCATCTGTATCCCCAGTGGATACCTCCTACTGACCATCTACTCACTGGTCAACATGCACATTGTGTCGTGGGGCACAAGGGAATCCAGCAAGTAACGTACCAACCTCCTAACTTTCTTCTTGATTTAAAATGATGTTAAGCAAAGACAAGACAGCCAGCAAGCCCCTAACTTAACAACTGAGTCATCCGTTGATCTAAAGCCAATCTGCAGGACTCACTGATTTCCTGACTCACTAAGCAACTGCATCCGTCTGTGTATTGATGAGATTATGTCTTTCCTCACTGCCCATCATTCTTTTTGTCTGTCAGGGGAGAAGGAGAGGTGAAGAAGAACCATAATATTCTGTGTGACCGAAAATGCACACTTTGCTGCTGGGACATGAAGTTACAGGTACTGTAACCAAAGACTTCCAGGGCATAAGTAGATGGACGGATTCACTCATTCCATCCCGTCGCGTTGCAGGTAACACAGGAGTCAGAGAATCTGATGCTCCGTCAGATTGCAGGCCAGACTCTCCAACAAATTCCGGCCCTTGCCATCACCAACCAGCACTCATTGATTCAAAATGCAGAGCCCGAAGCCAAAGTTGATACCAAACCAGAAAAGGCCGTTAACAAATCTAGTGGTGACAAACAGAAGGGGATGTTAGGAAAAGGCAACGACGCTGCTTCCATGAGCAGGTTTGTCTTTGCACTAAATATTTCAGTCAATCCGGCATCAGCGGCCTGCGCTGTCATGGCGTTTATCAGCTGTCATTTGGCCAAACAATGTCTGTGTGTCTGTATGCAGTGAGGACACTCTGTACAGAAACAGCATAACACCGAGCCTGTCGGACCACGGGGACCGTGAGGAGGATGACGACTTAATGGTCGCCGACTACGAGGATCAAGAGCTTACTGTGAAAGGTGAGAAGCACCTTAACGTTGCAACTGTCCCGAATATCACTTACTGTAGATAAAGAGATTCATTTGGGAAAAATAAAGTATGTACAGCATAGTATAATTACGTTATTGGTTCTCCTAGACTGGGTAGAGCCGGTGAAAGAAGAATTTTTGAAGAAGCTGACTTACGCCAACATGAAGAGAAACCTGCAGGAACAAATACGGTAAATGATTTCTAATTTCAGAGAGAAATGTTGTATGTTCTTTATCTTAAGGCTTTTGTCACAATCTCAACAAACAATGTGGAAATGTTTGCAAAGTGAACATGGAATGTAACTGAAAACAAACACAACTAAACTTGTTTGTGTTCATTTGAACACCGTAGTTTTTATTACTTATGTTATCACCTTATCAAACTAACGTTTTTGAAACTTGAATAGAAAGTTTCAATTAATATGGAAACAACAGTGTAATATGCAGTTTAACCTGCATGCAGTTAAGTGTACACGTATGAATTGTATTAACATTATTAACGAGTGTGTGTTTTTGCATGTGTGCACATACCGTATCAGCTAAAAATGTGCAAGTGCATAATTACGCTCTTGTTTTTCTGCATCTTTTATCTACAGATACGCACTCCGTAACAAACAAGAGGATGACGTATGTGAGGAGTTGGTCCTGATGTTAACAGACACTCTTAGCAGAGAGCTAAGTGATGTGGGACCGGAAGATGTTGTGCCACAAACCCAGCTGGAGGAGTTAGGATGTTCCCTGGAAGAGCATGTAATAATAACAATAACTTGCACCATATCATTGTATTATATAAGATTCAAATGTTTAAATTTGATGAATTGGTCTTAATCCTATACAGACAATATATATAAGCCAAAAAAATGTAATCTTTTAAAATCACTGAGTGACTTTCTGTATCTCACAGGCTCGGCGCATCCTCAGAACCAATCAAATGGAGAAGTTAGAAAATCGAGTCAAGGCAGCAATCAAGAAAACGCTCACCGCACCGCAAATAGAAAACCTTGATGAGGTAAGATGCGGATTCAGCCCCCGGCTCTGTGCAAAGCAAATACTGTAGCTGGCGGAGCAGTGTTGTCTCTTTTATTTCCGTTTAAGATAAACATAAATTGTACTAAATTAAGTGGATAGCCAGGAAAATGAATTGCTATAACAATAAGTATGAGGGAACAATAACAACGTCAGGTAGACTTTTTCTTTGCCTTTATTCAAATGAATCCTAAAGAAATATTTGTGCGTGTGGATTTGTGTCTTTAGGGTGAGCAGGACTTCTGGAACAAGTTACTCGAACGCTACTTGACGCCTATTGTTGACACTAAAGCGCACACGGAGGAAATCACCAAAGAACTAAAGTCACTACGCAACAAGGTCAGCTCTCTTTAATTGTTTATGCAAATGTGTCACTGTTGTTGTTGTTGTTGTTGTGTGTGCCATGAATTCTGAATTATATGTAATGACGACACGTCAAGCTCCATCGCTGATTTATCGCATGCTCTAATAAGAATTGGCAAACTTTGTCAAGCTGCACTCAGACTTCACAAGGTGTAAAATCACAGCCAATGTTGATATCTGGTCAATTCATAAGGAGAAACTTTGTAGATGTCCTTCTCTAATTTCAAACCTTTGAAAATCACGACCCATCGCACACAACAGGATATTGTCACGGTGACATGCTGGAGGGAGCAATAAACCACCTTGTGTGATCTCGTGAGGAAGCAGATGTAAACAGAATTGAAACTCATGTGAAGCAACAACTTGCAGCTTTGCTGCTTTGCCAAAAAATAAAAGCAGATTGCTGTGAGAAATGATTGGGGGGAGAAACGGGTTGTTTATTCCAGTGATCCTCAAAGTGGGACCCGGGGGGCTTCAGGGATTCGTGTCACTCTGCCAGAGAGGCCGTGACATAATACGCTATTCATTACACAACTGTGCTGCATCATTAAAAAGTGCATAACTACGGATGTGGATCATTTTCAGACTTCAGAAGAGTGTCATGAAATTCTTCTTCCTCCCCAAAGGCTGTGTTCCTGTACTTCATCATCAACGTGCTGTGGGTGGTTGCCACTTACTTCCTGCAGGCCATCGGCACGGATGTCCTCAGCATCAAGATCCCAAAATTTTTTCCAAACGGAACTCAATCTGACGAAACCCTCAACGTAAGGACTGTCCTGATGCATGCGTTGGAGTGACAGTACGAAGGAGGACGGTGGAATCTTTTTCAATGTTTATCAGCGCTACTGTGACTTCTGCTAAAAGTAATGTTGTTTTTTGTGGACAGGTGGAGCCTCTCAGTTTGATGTTCCTGTTTTCTTTCGCTATTCTTCTCCTTATCCAGTTTCTGGCCATGTTATATCACAGGTAAACACACACAGACACACAAACAAAAACAAACAAACATCTTCATGTGCCTGACAACCACGTTTTTACTTTTCTGCAGCTGTAACATGAGCAAATAAGCAGTAGTTTTCTAACTTTAAGATACAGGAGATTTGATTCTGTTAAATAGAAATATCATGTAACTGGTATAAAAATTGGAATTACTTCTGCTTTTCTAATTCAACTATTGTACATCCATCTCTTGATATCATTTTGTCAATACTTTCCACTTTGGTTTGATCTTTGTGCGTCTTTGTTTGCAGAGTCTACACTCTGATCCACGTGGTCTCATATCGCAGCTCGGAGAAGGACTACAAAGAGAGGATCGAGGTGAGTAGCAACACTTGAAACACACACAAACTAGAACGTGACGACCCTTCGTTTTCCAGCCCGGGCTGTTTGTCTTCCTCCTCTCTCTCGCTGAGCTGTCTCGTCAGGCAGAAAAGCCCCCAAAATAATATATGTGTTATGTGATTGTATAAGTAGTCTAATACAACAAACACGGCCAAACATTTAAAGCCACACAGCAAATAACTAAACAAAGAAAGTCTCAGCCGGTGAGACTCATTCACGTGACAATCTTTCTTTTGTATGTGTCGTCCTGTCCGCCAGGAGGAAGACGATGATTGCTTGACTCTGGAGAACGCAGATGGACTTTCCTTTAACAATGATGACCTGTAGTCCATAACAACCCACTGAAACCAGTGAAAGCCAGCGACCAGCGAGCCTTAGCATGACCTGCAGCAACCCCTTTACCAGCAGGTCCCTCCCCACCGAAGGGCTGGCAATCTGCTTTTCAGCTTTCACAGTGCACCAAATTCTGTGAACGTTTGTGGTTGAACAGTGTAGAGTGCTTGTAGACAGGCCAGTACTTTATCGGGATGTCACCGGATATCATCTAATTATGTTCTACATAATAGTATTTTAGCATTCTTTAATCATCAAGTAATTTGTTTGACTGCAACTGCTCTTAAGACTCGCATATATTGTATTTCAAGGGTGGTTGAAGTCTCCAAAATGATGGATGTTATTATCTGGAATGAGGGTTGACAGAATTGAACAACATCCTTGTAGAGGACCCACTACATAATTAGTAGAAATGTAAAATGTTGTAGTTTGTTTTTATGTGCTTTCCCCCCAGATCTTTGTTTTATTAATCACCTTGAGATGGAGATTGACATTTTAATTTGTCCAATGTATTTATGAGCTTCATGTCAATTAATTTAAAAATACTTGAATACAATGCTCCAAGAAAATGAGTCTAAAGACCTTTTCGAATGCAACATTTGCACATAAAATATTGTGAAAAATACTTGTTAGACCTTGCATATTTTAAACCCCAATGCTTCGTGGTTGTTGTCAAGATGGAACATTGCAATTATGTTAAGTTATTGTAACAATGCACAATGAAAAGTGATCAAGTGTTCTTGAGGAAACTGAATGTATTCGATCAACTCAAAAGTGGATAATATCTATAATAAATACAACAAGCAGCAAATACTCATATTTTCAGCTCATTAACGTGCAGGATTTAAGAAAAGGCTCCTGTAGGTCCTGATGTGATAGAATTATTGTCTTAATGGTTACAGAAACGTCAGGTGAATCTTTTCCTCTTAACAGTCTCAACCGATGGCACACAATTCTATACATGCTCATTTTACAACCTTCTAAAAGGAAGAAACACAATCGGAGTTGACCTTTTTTTAATAGTAAGTTTTTAAGAGTAATGAATTTCATTCAAATGAATGGAAGCAGAAGAGTTATTAAATAGAGGCAATTGCAAAATCAATCATCCAAATATATCTTGGCGAAGACTTGAGCTGACGGTACGGCAGCAGGCCGACATTGGGCACATCCTTAAAACTCCCATTTCTTTCCCACTCTCTGGGGGCTGCAGGGTAAAACACTGCCCACCACATGAGTGTCTTCGGGACAGTGCACCTTTGTGGCTCTACACAGAGTTATCTAGTGTAGTTATGTAACACGTTGTTTCGTCATAATGAACTACCTTTGTATTACGACAAACTGCCACCACTCCCCAAACATGAAGCCACAATCAGTGAGTGACGCATTCCAGCGTTTTTAGCCATATAATGCTAAACTTTTACAATAGGTTGAGTACCAAATGGTTTTGATCTCGTGCCATTCAAGACATGGCAACTTAAGGGGATCTCTAAAGGCACACGCCTGGCCTTGCATAATGGAAACCAGTGGCGCGGTGTTCAACTGAACACTGAAAGTGATCTTAAATCGAATTTGTTCTGAATTGGACTTTTGCTGTTCATCAGATCTGATGGAATTTTCACTTTATTTTGAAAGTGGGAACATCGAGGGTTGGGGTAATTTGACGTACTGTATACAAAGCTTCTGGTTATCTGAAAGCTGATGAAGGAAATGTATCGATCACACTCTGACCAGCCAGATGAGTGACAGTCGGTCTCATCAGTCCACAGGTTGCCGCTTCAATAATCAAATGCTTCGCCGAAGTCGCGTTTGTGTACTCCTTTGACGTTACTGTTGTTGTTAAAGCCACCGCTGCGAAACCCGTTGCTACGGCCACCGCTTCCTCCAAAACCACGGCCTCTGCCACCTCTGAAGCCTCCTCCGCGGCTTCCTCCGCGGTTTCCGCCACCGAAGCCTCCTCCGCGGTTAGTGAACTGCTTCTCCTCCAGCTCCGGGAGCTCTGTGGCTACAGTCAGTTGCCAACGGCGACCGTCCGTCCAGCCGTCCTGTTGATGGACCAAGTTCAGTGTTAGCGGGACTGTCAAATTCAGCGAGAAACAGTGAGCATACTTTTTTTTTTGGATTGACTAAATCAATCTTAAACATATTATAAAGAGTTGTTCTCACCATCATCTCTTTGACTTTGCCAGCTGAGACATCAAAACAAACACCCTGTCATGAACACAATAAGAGGGAGATGGTGAGTGTTTCAGGAGTCTGTTGATATGGCTTTTATTCTGGAAACCCAGCAGCTACAACAAGTAAGATCTCACCAACCGGTGGAACACATTTACAGATGCAACAGTATTTTAATGTTTAATGTGCTGTGGCCAGAAGGAAAAAAAGCAGAAAGCAGAAGCTGACAAGCTCCACAATCGCATTATAAAATCCAACACAATCTGAAATTCAGAATGTAAAGTAATTTCTTTGGCGCTAACATAAACCCCATCAGCACCGGCCATGAGAACACATTTGTGTGTTTACGTACCATTTTGCCTTTGAGGTAGTTCATTCTCTGAATGTGGGACTCAAACTCTTCTCCAAGCTGCTCTTTGATGGATTTCCAAGCATAACCCATATTATGCATCTCCTGAGAACACACCATCTGCATAGTGGTGAAACCCTGCAAGAACAAATAGAAACAATGAGTTTGGCGAAGTTAAGATCATACAGCACTGAACACAATCGAGTGACTCTAAAGAAAACGAATGTCTCTGTTGTTTACGACCCACATGAAGCCAAACTTACAACATCGGAGTTGAGCAGTGACCTTTGCTCGAGACTTGTGGCTCCAGAGATATGAGCCAGGGCCGCGGCCAGTGCATCAACTGCTCCTCTCTCCCCGATCAGCTTCTCCGCTGATTCTCGGAAGTACGCGACAGCTGTAATCGGAACAGAGTCCAGAAACCTGGATACGATGCAGAAAAAGAAGTTATAGCATCCGAAACGTAATGGCTTACTTTCACAAATGTGTTTCATTCAAAACGACACGGTTACAGTCCGCCATCAGTATCCTGAACGATGTACCTGACAGCGTCCTTGCTTGAGGACTTGATGATATCGTTTGCAGTGGGAACGCCAACTCGTCTGAATGTGATACCCTGGAAACAAAACACAATGCATTTTGGTTAGTATGCAATAAAAGAAAGATCTGGAGACAAACAGGTTACAATGAATGTTTCATTTGAGGTAAATGTGTTAACACCATTTCCAACTACAGGGATGAGTGCAGCTGCGACAGCCCTCAACTCTTGCCACAGAGGAAGCAAACTTTATCCTATTTTATGTATAACTTTCGAGCCTTGCTGTCTTCTACTTGGACTGAATTCAAACACGTACTGCTTTGTTTTCTACGTAGCGCAGCTGGTCCTCCTCTTTCCTCTGGTAGAAACAGATGCAGACTCCAGCCCTGCCGGCTCGGCCCGTACGTCCCGAGCGATGGATGTACGACTCCACATCCTGACACCGATCAGAGACAGAAAAATATTCAGCGAAAGAAGTGAACAATTTAAGAAAGTGTTATGTGTCCAAAAACAAGTTAACTCTTAGTTAAATTCTTACTACCGCCAACACAACGCACCTTTGGTGGAGAACACTGGATCACCAGGTCGACTTCAGGGATGTCTAATCCACGGGCTGCAACGTTTGTGGCAACCAGAACCTCAAAGGTCCCGTTCCTGAAGCCCTTCAGCGTGATCTCTCTCTGTTTCTGAGGAATGTCACCATGGAGGGTCTGGGCACTCTGATAAGAGGTAGAAGAGATACAAAATAAAGTTAGAACATTAACATTACACATTTCCTAGAAGCTTTTATACTCCTGATAGAGCTGTGAAGTTGCACGCGAGTGCGCACCTGTTTGATGGATGTATTCATGGAAAGTTCGTTGGCGTCTTTCTTGGTTTCACAGAACACGATGGTCCTGCTGTGGCTGCCGCTGTAAACCTGGATCACATCCCCGATTACAGCTGCACGCTGCGACCAGTGACAGGTGATGGCCAGATGCTTGAGAGACAGACGGACAGAGAAGCCACCGTGTTAGCAGCAGTAGCACATCGGCACATGACGCTGAGTCACACTGGCACGCCACCAGCCACTTTTCAATCGCAGCCTCACTCGTTAAATGAGGGACATTTTCATTAATCCAGCTGGCAGACTAACTTGATTAGAAAATAATGGGTGTTGATGATAAATACAGAAATTAACTGCAAAAGAACTTGTGCATGCATTTATGCATCTTAGTCTCAACTGCTGTAACTGTCCTCGATTACAGGCGTTTTTTTACCTCTGCTAACACCAACACACACACACACACACACACACACACACACAGACACACACTTACTTCTACTGTCGTTGCAGCTTTCTGTGTTTTCTTGCCGATCAGATCTACGTGTTTGCACTGTGGTCTCATGTACTTCTTGGCGACCTCGTAAACCCAGGGAGGGCAGGTGGCCGAAAACAGAAGAGTTTGTGGGTTGGAGTCGGAATCTGGAAAGGAACAGACACACATTCTACATTCATGGCCACACAAAACCATTATTTGAATCCACTCCAACACAGCACTCCAGACTCCAAATGGTAAGCTTGCAGCTGGGGGGCAGCCCCCCCCGCCCTGCCAAGTTCATTTGTATTTGCTGTTGATTACTGAATTCCTGGGCACCCAAAAAATTTGGCACAGCCCCAGATAAACACACAGCTGTGTGGATGTTTATGATGATTATTATGCAACCATGGGGAAATAAGGAGAGAAAGGAGTCATTTAAGACTGCAACGTCTAAACCCGTTGCATTTATGATAAACAATAAACACATTCACACACGATTTTGAGGTAACAACAACAAGAACAAAGATTCACTTTACCTTTCGCATATGATGTCGACAAAATCTCTTCAACCTGATCTGCAAATCCCATGTCCAGCATCGTGTCAACTTCATCCAGAACCACATGTTTCAGTTTGGAGAGGTCGAGTTTGTTGTTCTGCAGGTGGTCTTTGACGCGGCCGGGTGTGCCCACCAAAATATCGATACCATTACGGATTGCATCAACTAGACAGAAGGAGAAACTCCATCAACAAACAAAGGAGGACCTGACATTCACATGGTCGTGTTCTGTACTTTCTGTACATTCATGTCACGTACATTTTAGTAACATTAAAACATATGAATGTAAATAAAAGAACTCTTAAAACAATTACGCTGTGGGTTGTATGAGCTGCCGCCATAGAAACAGGCGAGTGAAAGCTTCCTGGTGATGTCTTTGAAGTCCTTTGCGACCTGGATTGCCAACTCTCTGGTTGGAGTCAACACCAAGACCTACAGAAAACGGGAAAAGCCGCTCAGTCACACACAAACGTTGTCAGAGACCATATTTATTGTCCAACTCTGGCTGATGCTGGTTTTTAGTGATTGGTGAGAAGGTGTGTGTGTGCGTGCGTGTGTACCTTGGGAGCCCGGCCTCTGGTCAACGCCACTGCATCCGTCTGCAGCTTCTCCACCAAGGGGATGGCAAATGAGAACGTCTTTCCTGTTCCAGTTCGGGCTTGGGCAATGACGTCCTCGCCGTCGTAAACAGGATTGAATGTCTTCACCTGAATGTCAAACAGGTAAGTGGCTCCCCGAGCTGAGAAAAAGATGGAGCGGTGACCGAGTGAGACGGAGAGGAAAGTGGGCAACAGGATGGGGAGAAAGGCAGGAGATTTGAAATGTTAATAACCATTGTGAGCGTCAAATCAACTCTCAAATGCTAAAACATGTCCATCAATACTAAAACGCATGTTTATTCTTTGAAAAAGCACCTCAGGTGCAATTGATATGTTATAACGTGGAGTTCTGTGAAGCACAACGTATCGAAAGATTCCTTTTTGTGGCAAAGCAGCAAACCCGCATCCGTTGACCTTCGGTCTCGATCCACAGTGGTGAACACTACGGTACGAAATGCTTACCTTTCAGTTTATCAATAGTGAATTGGGAGATCCTGAAGTTGGAGAAGGCTCCTTCCTTCTGCTCTGGTGTCTCCCCCTAAACAAATAAACAGAGTTAGACTATAGGACAGTAATCTTGAAATTTGAACATAACTGTCAATTTAAACAGAATTAATTGTAAACGTAACCTTATAAATGCTTGAAAACATAGTGAAAGAAGTACATCACATCACCATACATTCAATAAAATATTTTTAACATTTAACTCCTCCTGAAAGGGGGGAGAAAAAAAAAACAGCCTTATGTGCGTGGTACCGTTTCTTTTTCACTGTCGCTGGCCGAGTCTTCACTGGACTGGACCGGTGTGGGTGCCGGGGTGTCTGGGATGGAATGTCCGTTTGTTTCAACCTCGGCTTTCTTATTCTTCTTCTTTTTTTTCTGAGGCCAAAAATAACATTGAGAAGATGTTTTAGAAGGGGCAGAGTATGACCTTTATAGCCGTTTCACAAGTTACCAGGAAAGATCATCCAACGTCCCGAGAAACTACTCGATGGATAATAAATATAGCCGGGACGTTTTTGTAAAAAGATACACAACTATATATTTAATATAGTAACAAACATCACTGACCTCAGAGTCTCCTTCAGCCTTCTTCTTAATCTTCTCTGGTGTGTCGGCAGTGATGTCGTTCATGTGTGTGTCCTCCTCGATGTGGTCGTTGACTTGGTCCACTGGAAGAGAGTCTTTTCTCTTTTTTTTCTTTGGTGCTGGAGGTTCACAGTCCAGGTCCTGCTGCTCTTCCTGCTCCTCCAGGTTCTGCTGGTTTTTCAGCTTCTTCGCCTCTTTGTTCTTTTTCTTTAAGAGAAAGAATAAAAAGGATTCAGTAAAGCTTGTGCAAATTCAGTTGCTTGAGTAAGAACGTACTTACTTATCACATCGCATTGTGATTAATATGAAATGTCGTGTAAATACCAACCATGAAGTTTAACAGACTTGTTTAAATTGTATCACACACGAAGGGGAATCTGCCGCCTTGATGGGCTGTTTTATATTTTAGAAGACACCAGATGTCACTGTGCTTTCTGAAGCTTCGTCCACCCATCGTTGGGTACAGTATACAAAGTAATTAAAGAACACTATTGGGAAGAACTATTGTCAGCACCACAGAGTACTTTTTAAGTGAATGAAATGATTATTGTATATTAAAAATGACTTTCTTTTAATGTATCGCATAATGATCACTTTTGATTAATCCAAATTGTAGTACCAAGCAACCTGGGTGGGGGCTTGATTTATGTTTAAAAGATCTGAATGTTTGAAAAATGTGACATTTAACTGTTAGCCAAGATTATAATACTAATACTACTAAAATACTAAATCAACGAGTAATAAGCAATCACTATGTGCTTTGATAATAACTTAAATAAACCCCTTTACTCTAATTGGACTGTTGGTGGCCGTTTTTTAGACGTTTTTATTTTATCCAAACTAGCGTGCAGATTTAAGTATCAAAGGTATTCTAGCAGTCTGACAAAAAGCATCGCAACTACGGTTCTTCACTGTAAGTGAACTAAAGTGTCATTTGCATAACATAATCAAATACGAGTTCAATACGTAACGTAAACACTTAGTCCAGCTGCATTTTACGTCATCAGATGGCGTCCGCAGCGCAGATACACAAAGGCGTGGGTGGTTGTTAAAGGTTTCCACGTTGCCCTCATAGCATTTCCCTGTGGTCTACAAAGTTAACGATGTATGCTAAGATCACATTAGCAGTAGCTCGCCCACATTTAACACCATTCCCAATTTGCACCCTGTCCCACTAAACTGTGTATAACATTTCACTCCTTGTTTAGCTTCTTGAATCTACCTTAAGTCGGTTACCCAAACGGTAGCCGGCCGGTTAGCACAGAGCTAGCACGCCAAGCCACATGTTGTTAAACACGCAGCTCAACGTCTTTCTCTGTCCGTTCACGCGCGACACGACTCGCGCCGCTCACCTTTAGGCGTTTAGCCTCCGCGGCGGCGTCCAGGTTGTCATCCATGGCTTGATCTTCAGTTTCTAACATGATTTTTGTCTGCATTTCTCTTTCCCGATGGAACCCCTCAAGTGTAGACGCAGGACAAACCACGGGCACGCGGATGGAAAGGAACGCGCAAGGCAGCGAGGAAGCGTGTTCACGAGCCAGACATAGAAATAGAAGCGATAGACAAAGAAATAGAAGCGATAGAGCCCTTACGTAAGACGATTACGCTATGACGCTACCTGCTTAAAACCATAGTATATCAATCAATCAATCATTATTTTTTATCTATAGATGTTTTATTTGAGAATGGATACAGTATTACATTTTTCTATGAGAATATTTATTTATATAAAAAAAAATCTCGGTTGAAAGCTTAAAAAAGGTTAGTATTAGACATAGGCGTAACCACGCATTCTTTGGGGGGGGGGTCTTGTCCCCGCCAATATTGAAATGGTACCAATCTGTCCCCCCCAATATACAGCAGAAAATATGTAAATATATCTATGGACATATATCGACCGTACCGCCGGCCGGTCTGATCGTCAGCGCCCCCTGTCGGCTGTACCGTTCGCCGGTCGGATCGTCACCACCACCCAAAGTAATAATTGTAATTGGTGTGTTTAAGGTCAGTAAATAGTAAGCAACTCACCAAAACAAAGTGGAGGGGCAGTCACTGTCACAGAGAAATTACACTATTCCTTTAGATGTGAATTTAAATGGTCATTGTAGTCCTCGAAACTATGTTTTAAATGTGCAAATGTTCCTATATAAATATAGAATTGTAGGCCATGCAATTAACAAAAAAAAATAATATGGGGAATGGTATTCATTTGGACCCCCCCAATGTCTAAACCATGGTTACGCCCTTGATTGGACAGAGTATACCCAATGTAAACACGGCAAGTAAAGGACCTCCAATGATCCCAAATATACTGATGACAGCCTGTATAAAGAAGCAGATGTTTACATTACATTACATGTCATTTAGCGGACGCTTTTATCCAAAGCGACGTACAATGAGTGCATTCAACCATAGGGTACAAACTCAGGAGAACAAGAAACAAGAAAGTGCAATTTCCTCAAATAAGCCAATTTACAATTTGCTATAGATGAGTGACGTTACAAGTACAATTTAAGTGCTACAATTTGTTAGTCTTTAGTCGAGGTAGAGTCTGAAGAGGTGTGTCTTTAGTTTGCGGCGGAAGATGTGAAGGCTCTCTGCGGTCCTGGTGTCTTCAGAGAGCTTGTTCCACCATTTCGGCGCAAGGACAGCGAAGAGTCGAGATCTAGTCGAGTGTTTTGCTCTTAGTGAGGGAGGGACGAGTAGTTTTGCAGATGCAGAGCGGAGAGTGCGGGTTGGGATGTAGGGTTTGACCATGTCCTGGATGTAAGCTGGACCAGATCCATTCACAGCATGGTACGTGAGCACCAATGTTTTGAACTGGATGCGGGCGGCCACCGGTAGCCAGTGAAGAGAGCGGAGGAGTGGAGTAGTGTGGGAGAATTTCGGAAGGTTGAAGACCAGTCGAGCTGTTTAGTTCTTTCCAAGAATAAACCATGAAGCCCAATATCTTGCAGCAGTAGCACACAAACTAGATCCACTCTACCTGCAGAGCCCCTCCCATTAGTGAAGCCAGTCCGGCCATTCCAATGCACAAAACCCCGTATACCTACAACACCGACATTAGGGAAGGACTTGAGATTTCAAACCTTATTTACAGCCTAACAAAGTGCTCCGATAACTGTGAGACATGAATGTGTATCCATAAATTTGAAAACATTCAAAAGAATCCGTAATAGGGTTTTTAAACTATTTAAAGAAATAAGTCTGTGTAATACCGGTTCCAAACATGATGGCGCAGCAAGTCGGGCAGGAGCAGCAGTCTATAGACCTTTTCCCAGCACTGCATGAAGGATAGTTCCGTCTTGTTCTGTGTGCTAGTAAATATTAATGGTTCACCCGCAGGTCTCCTGGCACTGCTGGCCAGCCGGCTGATGCTGCCAGCGGTCGATGGAGCTCCTGTGGGGAGCAGGGACTCCTGGATGACCATCCAGGAGCTTCTGTGGCCCTACACGGGGCTCCGGCATAACGGACAGCCCCCCGTCTAGGCCCTGGGGCGGATGGTGTCATACCCCCCGCCCCATCAGCTGCCTGCAGAAATGATCTGTGCACTTGGGCGCTGACGACAAAGAACAGTGTGCACCTTCTGAGCGAGGCTGTTGGGATGCTTACTGGCGTCTGGAGATTCCTAAAAACAAGACTTGCGTTGATGCCACAGGACAGGCCTCGGGATAGTTACCCCTTTGGAGGGTTTTGTGCATCACATCACGTTTGCTAAATTACTCTCTGTGTGTGTGTGTGTGTGTGTGTGTGTGTGTGTGTGTGTGTGTGTGTGTGTGCGTGTGTGTGTGTCTGTGCCTGCGTTTTAAGAGGATAAGCAGTTGTGGGTGATGGAAATCCTTCTAAAAGCTGCTCATTGTCCTCAACCCATTATGATGCAGGCTTGGTGAGTTATCAGAGCATGTACACAACTTCATCAGACGAAAGGCCGTCGTGGACGGTGGCTCCAGTTGTGCCACATGACGTTTAAAATACATTTCATGCGCTTGAAGAAACCGGAGGGGGTCTACCAGCCTATTTAATGATATTAATAACTTAAGTCTGTGAACACTGGTAATAAAACATTCATTTTGTTTTAAAAATGTATTTATGAGTTTGTTAGACTAAGTGAGGATTTGTGAATATCTTTTTGTTAAGTTAAAATATGCATTTTACAGTCTTGACACCAACAGGGTTTTTTTTTCACTCTTAATTCTTGCTGTGGTTGTCACTGTTTTCAACTTCAGATACTTTTGTATGTTCTAAAGAATATGCGTGGAACTTATTTACACAAATAAAGTAGGCTATTCTACAATACCCGTGTGTTCTTATGTATATCATAAACGTATCAAATTCTATTGTTTTTTTTTAATCTCTTTAATTGGGTGTTTCCCCTCAAGTGGCTTTCACACGGGTTATGATTACATCAGGGGTCTGGTGGCACAGAGCAGGCTTTGCACTGTATCCACAAACAGATAATCGGATTCTCTGGTCTTGGCTATGCCTTCAATGCTCATGTCATCCTGGAGCATGTGGATGAAGGTGGAGTGAAACTCACTTCCCGGATAAAGATCTGGAGAGTAGCCGTCACTCTTCTCTGTCACTTCCAGCTTCTGACTCCTCTGAGCACCGAGCTGGTAGAGGCTCCACGAGCCTTCAGGCACCGGGGCAGCGCTGTGATGCTCACACGCCTGGCCGAGGAGAGAGATCAAGGTGGGGAGGGAGTAGAATGCTACGTGATTTACACTGTCTATATATTTGGGCTAGAGTACCTGCATGACTAGATGCTCTGCTCCACATTTGGCGTTCCACTTGCTCCATGCGAACGCGCAGGCAGAGGCGAAGAGGGCCATCTGTTCGTAAGCAGCATGTTCGGTAAGTGGGTCCTGAGGAGGAGAGAAGCCACGCTGCATATTTATAGCTCTGGGAAATGTTGGATTGTAACCTTGTGATGTGCGAGCAAGTATCAGTAAAGGCACATCAAAGTTGATTGCTCATCGTTTTAGAAAGGTAAAACAGCAAGACCAAATTGTTTACAAATGGATAATGTGGTTGGTTCAGGCAAACTGAAGTTTATATTGGTTTGTAGAAAATTCCAAATATTTAGTGCAATGATCGGGCCAGAGTTTTACTTTGACCAATACTTTGCTTTAGAAACAAACTAGTTCACCGTATCTGGCCGTGCTAAAAAAACAAAACTAAGACTCATTGCCCACTTCTGCTTGACACTGTGCTGCAGCCCCCCTCAAATCCAGCCTCTTGTTCTTCAATTCTGTAAAGCAAACGAGTAAAATCCACACACCTTGCCGCAAGTAGAGACATATTTGTCCGTGAACTCGTTGACGGTGATGTTGACCCCGGCGTTGAGCATGGCTTTCTGCAGGACGGGGCTGCTCATCCACTTCCCTCTTACGTGAGAAAGACCCTTTGTTTGTTCCGACTGCAACATGCACTGATTACCCTGTGAAATGTGACAGTCGAGCTACGTTGTCTGATTTATTCCTCTGTTGTGTGTACTTTTTTTGTGCTTTTTGGTCAATACCTGGATGGTGATGCTGAGGTCGATGAGTGCCCCGTTGATGGTGAAAAGAGCCGAGTCTTGGCCCAATGGCCTGAGCTCCCAGCTCTGGAAGGGAAGGTTAGCATAAGTATCCTGCATCAGCACAAAAGCATGGAAGGCATCCATGTTGAAGGAGATTTTGTCCTCGGCCTCCTCGTAAGACACGTCGGTGATCCCGTCCATCCTCCACTGATCCGCTGGTTGAAAAACCATCTTGCATGAGTTTCTTTTGCTGTAGAGAATGTTATATATAGAATGTGCTGCTGCGTGTCCTACCTGCAGCATCCCAGCGAGCCACTTTGGGAGTTTCCAAGAAGACGACCCAGTCGGGCAGTGTCACGGACACACCGACAGGAGGGCTGGCGAGAGCTTTGTTTTCATCTAAATTAGACATCTCCATGGGATAGGGGAAATTTTGTAGCCCATGGTCCAACAGCTGGAAAATAACGGGTTATGGAGACGTGTTGTGCGAGCGTTGTGCCCCCCTCCCCCTCCCCCCATTAGCTTTACCTGTCTTATTTCCCAACCATTGACCTTGTGGACTTGTGGCGGGAGGTGAAACAGGTTATAGTGGAAGACGCCACCCAGAGGTGTGTACTGCATTAAGTCCACCACTTGGACACGCTCACCGCAGTCAATCGTTGTCAGCGGCAGTGGAGAAGTCAACTCCCCCTCAGCTGAAGAGGGGGGGGGAAAAAAAAGGATTCCACTTTTAAAACAGCTATTGATGTATCTTGATCTACATTAGAAAACAATAACTCTGATTTAGTTGTGTTGTGGCATTAGTCCATGAATCAAAAGATGTATCAATCATTTTGACTGACGACAGGTCTACATTCGTTTAAGCTTTGAGTGTCATGAAGCGTCTGTTGGGGCATCTTACCGTTGAGTGCCTCCATCTGGGTCTGTATCTGGCTGCTTCGGCCTTCCGCAGGCTCAGCACTGCTTTCCCTCGACTGCACACTGGCTGCGCTCTTGAGAGCATTATTCATAATCGCTCCACCAGATAGGTACCTGTGGCCAGGTGTGTGCATTCTCGGGTGAGCCATCCTGGCCAGCAGCGACAGGTGGTCATAACGCGTGTGGAGGATCCGTACAGCGACGTCTCTCACAGCCAGCTGCTTGGGAAGCTTAAAGTCCAGGCCAGCCTCTTCAAAGTTGAAACCTTTAAACCTAAATGAGCCCGTTAGAAAGAAAGAAAGAGTCCTACATAATTGTGCTTCATGGTGAATAACAACATAATAAAAATAGTGTTGTGAGCTAATGGAAGACAAACCTCTCTGATTTATATATATTTTTTGGTCCACAAACCTTGGACTCTTCCTGAGGTTGGCCCACAGACAGAGTGTAATGTTTTCATCTTTGACCACCGTCTGCATGTTGCCTGTCTCGGTGTCAACGTTTTCACTGGCCTCCTATGACCAGGGAGACGAAAAGGACAAAAAACAGGGATGGTTCCAAAAGCTGATTCATTGTCCCTTGTAAAACACACACAAAAAAGATCTCACAGGCTGAACTACAATCCGTGTACCTTGAGGATCTCCTCATTGGTGAGGAGGTGTTTAGCGTGGATTAGCTCCAGCAATTCTAGAAGACTCTCCTGGTAGTACTGGCCCCTTCGTGGATCCGTAATGTCTCTGAGCACAAGCTCCACTTCCTCCAGCAGCTATTAGAAACAGCTGTAATGTATTTCTTACATATATTTGTTTAAACTTACTGTAAGGGTCATCACTTTGTATAAAATGTGTATTGAATTGAATTCAAAGTGAGTTGAATCATGTCAAGGGGCAGCTGTTTTATGATGTATTAATGCAAATAAAGTGATTAATTTGGAGGAACAATAGTGTTTATTATAAAAATGGACTTTGATCTTTATTACTTAACACACGAAAAATGTCACTGAACATGAGCGGAAGTCCTATTTCTCCATTTTGTATTGCAGTTTTTGTTTAGGAATCCTTAAGCAGCAAATACTGGGTCTTAATATTTGATAAACTAGTTCAATGATCAGTTATTTATCTACTCTATGTGTACATACATACAGACCTGTAGGGCGAGGTTGCATTGCTTGAGCACGAGTGTGATGTTGACTTCTGGGTCATCTCTCCATGAGCTGATGTATCTGTTAACATCCTGCAGTACTGTTGGGTCTGGGAGAGCGCCACAATTCATGTATCTCTCCCACTGGACACAAACGGCATCATGTGCGTTATTTTTGGCCAGAAATAGTTTTTCTGAGAATTTTCCTTATTTTTTTTTTAAACATTGTATATTAATCACAAATGTGTCGTCTGCTCAGGAAAAAACTAAAGCCCTGAGAGGCAAAATTTGTGCTGTGTTGAATGTTTTCACATGGAACACAAACCTCCGCTTTCTCCACAGCATCGGTTTTCCATTTGATTGCTGCAGTTTGATTGTTCTCCAATAGACGGCGGAGTTGGTCCAGCTCGTGTCCTCTGCGCTCTCGGTCCTAACGGCAAAAGCATTCAGTGAAGAACTCATCTCAACAATAGTCCATAGGGACGTCTTACCTTTGACTCAAGCCTTTCTAGCTCCTTCTGTTTTCTCTCTCTTTCCAATCGTATGTGCTCTTCTTTCTCAGCCTGCAGCCGCACTTCCTCTGTAAAGTAAAATAATACATGTGTGTGCACTGCAGTATTCGGTTCTATTATCCATATTATACAAATCTATCAGATAGTCATTTGCATCAGCCTCCTGCAGTGTACGGCATAAATGTAAATGCCTCTTTTTGGCGAAGTTTAGATTCAAAACACATATAGCTGGATTACCTTCCTCTCGCAGCCTCTTCTCGTCCTCATCCTGCTGCCTCTTAGCCCTCTGAGTCGTTGTCAGTTTACGACCCTTTGACTTGAAATCGACAAATACAAAATGACCGATCCGTGTTTCACAAGGATATACCAATAATATGTGTTGGAAAAGGTGAGTTGCTGAGGAGACGGTTGGCATAAACACAGTGTCCTAACATGTGTGATGGTGGTGATTGTTGTAGGAGCGGGATAATATATGTTCTTCATGCCTGGCTGCATCTACGTCATGCATCTGTATACAACTAAAGTACATTATTCAGAGTGATGGGATACTAAAACTGCATGTGCTGACTGACATTTGCTCATACCTTTACTTTCTTGGGTGGCTATTAATCACAGCAGAAAACATGGAAGGAAAGTTAAAGAAGGTTTAAAGACACGACAATACAGCAGTCACAAAAAGTGCATTAAGATCAAGGCTTCTTCCTGTCTACAAACACAGAATTCTAAACTAACTTGTCCATGTTGTTTCTGCACTTTTAATTTGCATTCCATTTTATTTTTGTATTGTTTTTAATTAGGAAAAGTGTTGTTATATGTATAGCGTTGTCTTTATAATAAACACTAATTAATAAAAATAATGTGTTTTTCCTTGTTAAGGGCTGTTAACGTGACAATTGTGACTAAGTATGTAACTTTCAGCAGGTAAGTTTTTCCAACGTCTATTTGTATTTGTAGGTGGAAATACGTTCACGTATAGACCCGTTTTCAACGTGATTTATAATATCGGTGGTAAACTTCCAAATGTGGACGTAGTTCAAAGCGCATTAAGATCAAGGCTTCTTCCTGTCTTCAGTCTTATTTTTGAGGATATGTGACAACACATGTTATTCTTCGGTTCAAACCCTTTGAATATGAGATCGTTTAATAACGATTAAATAAATAATTAAACAAACGGGCCATTTTATGTGAAAAACAAACATTGTAAAAACTCACCATGGTGAAAACACGAAGGGCTACGTTGTCTGGTAACCATAGAAACGCGTGCGCATGCGTTGTTGTCTCTTTCTATTTGCGACAAAAATAAACGACATACGACTGTCCATCCGATCCGTCCACTGTTGACACAGAAAGGACAAAGAAGAGTCTTCACTATCCTCCTGTTTGTGTAAATCCACCCAACAAAAGAACACTGGTAAATAGGAATGGCACTGTTTAATATGCGTATTCCTATAGTAGCTTTTGGTGAGTGTAGCATGAGCTAAAATGCTAACAAGCTGTGCTTCAGCTAAGTTAACGTTAGCTGACGTTGATTCCAGGGTGAGCTGGTTTGGTGTCGTTAGAATCATTAGGATTCAGGGAGATTCTAGTTCATGCTGATGATTCCTGTTTGACTTGTTTATTATTATTCTTGCCACTCTTCTATTAAGGCCAGATTTCTCGAGTACACGGTTACTAGTTGTCCTGTGGACAGATTCGGTCCACCTCCAGAGTTACCATGCGACTCCTGGATGCTGCTTTATCAAGTACATCACAGTTTACTCAGGATATATGTGACCTTTGACTTTGGTGATAGAGGAAATTAATATAATGTACAACTAAAGAGGATACCGATATTGTATTTCAAGCAAGAGGTGTCTCTGTCGCTGGAGACAACCTGTCCAAACATTCATTTCTTCTACTCAATTACATTCCAGTGTCACTAAAATAAAATCTTATCTACATATTGAGGGACATGTTTGTTCACAGTCAGTTTTAAAACTTAAAACAGCGGTTCCCATACTCAAGAATGCCGCGGCCCACTTTGAAATCTGAAAATCTTTTGCGGCCCACCCAAACTTTTTAATCACAACTCTGATCAAAACATAATGATTAAATGACCATAAGAATTTAACAGATTAAAATGTATTAACCGACAATGTATGTTTTGTATACCATTTTCTCTGGAGCTCATGTGCCGTGTTTTCCGCACAATAAGGCGCATAAGATACTGCAGTCTTTGGCTCACTGTCAAGATTCGAGAGCGCAAATCAGGTTGATGCGCACGATGAGCAAAAGTCGGTCTCGAGCGAGATATTTGCCCATTTCTGCACTGAAGGAAGGGGATAGAAAGTCGAAATTATGAGATAAAACGTTGTCAAAACACAAACGACACCTTTATGTAACCGTAGTGGACCGTAGATGACAACCATCATTTACCATCATTACCGGCACATTGTGTGGAGACAGTGCTTTCAGGGTCTGATCGATGCCGCGAGGTGCGTCCGCTCCCGCCGCCCCCCTCGCCATCCATGCCTTAAATCTTCGGCTGCTTTTAGATTAACTTATTTTCCGTTAAGATGGTTCAGCTACTGTAGAGAAAAGGGCGCCGTCTCTCGCTCTTTAATCTCATGGAGTGCTCGGCGAGAACGACAGCTTTGTTTCTCCGACGTGCCCTGAAACAAGCTCCATATCTCACGCGCTTGAGCGCCGCTCAGCATCTCGCCGTCGTAGACCGAGCTTTGGCATGTTTGGCAGAGCGCCTTGAGCGCCGTGTGCAACCATATATGGATCAACCGATAAACCAATTGATCCATATATGTAAGGCGCTCCGGATGATAAGGCACTGTCGTTTTTTGAGAAAATTAAAGGCTTTTAAGTGCGCCTTGGAGTGCGGAAAATGTATATTTACTTTAATACTACAAGAGGGCGCCCCGTTTGTTCAACGACAGGCGGACAAGAGCAGCCGTTTCAAGCAAGAGCCTTTTTGTTTTATTAATCTGTCCATTTAAATTGTTTGTGCTTCATCAACTAATATTTCACATAACTAATGTGCCGCATCATAAATATTTTTATATTAATTTTTTTCAAAATTGAAAATGAAAAACTTTTTATTTATTTATTGTAAATGACCTCTCACGGCCCACATGCAGTACCTTCGCGGCCCACACTTTGGGAATCGCTGACTTAAAACCCTCCTCCCAAAACAGGCTTCAGCAGACCAGCAGGTGTTATTAGGCGGGAAATACATTTTCTGTGCTGGTGTGTCCAACATGCTAAAGAGCAGCTAGTCTGTTGCAATGGTTCCCAACCCAATTCCAGGCTGCCTGTGGCATCCATCCACAGCTCCAGAGGTCACTCTAAGGGTCACATGAAAGGTAACATGGAGGCGATGAAGAAAAGAGAATGAATTCATTTCTTTGTTATTGTCTAGTAAGAAACATGTCAAATATTCTAGTCAAAATGTCTGAATGCTATAAAACCATACAAGTAGGGGTGTAAGGATTCATTTGAACAACGATTCGAATCGCGATTCATGGTTGCCGATTCGATTCATGGACGATCTGGGTTCATTTAGAACGATTCAATTCGATTTAGTGACTTGAAACTAATTTAGTAACTTTACTGGACAGTGCAGGCAAAGTTTATAAGATCCCTGTTGTTTCTTGTAAGGAAATCAGGTTTAAATTAATTATATTTAATTAAATAAATTATAATATATTGGATATTATAAACAAGCAAACAATTAATGGCAAATATATTAACCTTTTATTTGAATCAAGTGCAACCATTTTCAATGTAAACATTACATGATAATTACACAATGTTTGGATCAATTCACAGAACCCCGGATTTTCAACCTCATTGTAGGGTCGCATGTCTTTACAGATAAACTTGGCAATTGTTACTATGATGTTGAGTTTGGTGCTGGCGAGGCCTGAGGTGTCTGCAGAGCTGGAGTTACCTGCTGCTGCTGCTGCGGTAACGCTGCTAGAGGTGCCTGACTGTCGGCGTCGTTTAATCCCACGGCGCCTTAGTAGATGGCCGGAAAGATTCGTTGGGTTTCCGTGGCTTATTTGGTTTCTTCATATTCTACAAACAACGACCAACTTATTTAGAACACCTCCGTGTTTGCAAAAGCCAAAATGTTTCCACGCACTGGATTGATTAGTTGGTTTGTAAATGTCTCGCTCGCAGTCGTCTCCTCCACGCTGTGTTTTGTTGTTCAGAGTTTCGCGCGGCTGCCGCTGCGTACTGATGACGTCACAGGCAGACTGAATCGAGTAACGTTTAACGTGTCTAAAGTGCTAAAAACAAACAAACAAACACACAGCTTTTGTGCTTAAATCCAATGTGCAGTTTCCATGTATCGATACATATCGATTATGTACCATTTCAATCGATTTGTAATCTATATATGTCGTCTGGAATGCCGATTTGCTGAGCACAGATCGATTCAGTTGGATCGCAGGAATATAAATCAATTAATCGATTCAGTGGATGAATCGTTACACCCCTACACAAGTGATTTTCCTTATACCGCAGCATTTGACAAACATTATTTCTTATCATCAGGGCCCTTTCACCTCTCGGGGCTAACCGTTCTATTTGGGATGGAAGTGTGACAAATAAACTAGAATTAATGAAAACAAAAGTCTCTTCATACTGTCATTACTTATTGCTTAATAAATAAATGTTCCTTCTTCCAGGAAATAAATATAACGAGATGTATATTGTTACGTTCCAGCTCCCAAAAGGGAGAACATGACAACCCACTGCTCGGGCCCACCGATGCCAGTGTAATGGGAAAATGATATGTGACCCTTTTAAATGCTTCATTTGTATAACCAGTTTATTAGTTGCAAGTGCTTAGGTCACAAAGGCCCTGACATAAGAACTGATGTCAGTTGATATTCTGATTTTCAAACGGGGCTTCCTGAATTATAACGGGTGATAACAGATTACAAAGACGGGTATTTAGTACTTTGGGATTTTTTTTTTTACAATTATTTTTTCTCTCTCTTAGAAAATCCAAATTTCGGTAATTTGATTGGGCTTCTAATGATGATAACTTGTCTTTTTATCCCGTTATTTGAAAAATGTGTATAAAATTATAAGAGTAATTGTACAGTATTTCCGGTTCATCAGCATCCAACTTTTTACTGAGGAAGACAGGGAGCAATGTGCGCATTTACGATTGTATTCAGACTAACTATCTGAAAATCGCATAATTGTGACCCTTGACCAAAGGGGTAAGACGGGCAATTTGCGTCGCATTATTGTGACCCTTGACCTAAAAGGGGAAGACAGGGGCAATTTGCGTATTACGATTGTATTCAGACTAACACTCTGAAAACGCATAATTGTGACCCTTGACCAAAGGGGAAGATAGGAGGGATTTTGAGAGTTCACTGAAATCGCAAAATTTCAGCCCTTGACCTAACAGGAAGACAGGAACAATATCGGGGTTTTCGGACAGTAATCTGAAAACAGATATTTGCGCCCTTGACCTATATTTATTAACCAATAGTTCTGGTTGGGTTTCAACTTGTATTTTTCCTACGTAAAAGAAAATCAAGACTTATAGTGACGACTATATTTTAAGTAATAAAAAGTATACTTCACCACGCCTGAAAGATGGGTGGTGTACAGGGTAAAGTTATTGAACAAAATGACCGATGTGCTTCTTCTCCCTTGTATCCGAGTCTCACAGGGGGCTGGCGGCCCTCTCCTCAACACATGCCCACCGCCGCACCCTGCTTCATCTGCGAACCAGCAACCTTCGTCTGCATGGTCACAAGCTCCAAAAGTTCACTACAACCGGCAGAGGGAGGAAAAGGAAGCGGCAGTGAAAGCAGCACAGGAACGACTCCTCAGCGAAGAGAAGAAAAGAGACAGGCTGCTCTCCTCACTCGATCTCGCTCTCCAGGAGCAACCGGAGGGGACACTTCTGCCATCAACAAACTGATCACAGAGCAACCATCTACATCAGATGTTGTTTCCCCCTCTTTCGACCCAGAGGGAGTTCCCCCGGATGCAAAATCTGTGCTCCAAACCCCAATGATTCAAGTACCAGGACACTCAGGTCCCATACTTGTTTTCCGGCCTTGGACTGATACGGACATTAGAGCTGCAATGGCTCATCTCCCGCCGATACAGCACTCGGGAAGACTGTTTGCTGAAGCATTCATGGACTTCTGTAAGCAATTCCTGCCCAACTTTGCTGAAA